TTAGTTGTGTCTAGGATGCACCGATACTAGTATCGGTATCGCTGCCGATAGAGAATATTTTGGGCGAGTACTCGTACTCTCCCAAATGCTCAGATACCTTCCCTGATACCGAAACTTCTGGTCAGAGTGAGATTTTCTCTGACCGGCAGTGCCGTAGGGGAACGTGGAGCCAGCTTCCCGTGCGATCTGGAAGCTTGGCGGTGAGTAATGACCGGCTTCCCGGCCTATCAGGGAGCTGGGAGGCGGGTCATTACTCGCCGCCCGGCTTCCTGATTGGCCGGAAAGCCTGTTTCCCGGCCAAGCGTAATCAAGCCAGCCAGACAACATGGAGCCAGCTTTTCGGGCAATCAGATTGCTCGGGAAGCTTGCTTCATGTCAGCGGAAGCACCGGTATCGGTACTCTGTATCGACGAGTACCGAAAGCAAAGTATCGGTACTCGGTGCATGCCTAGTTGTGTCAATGGAGCCGACTCCTAAAAATTATCCTGCTGTCTTCTGGATTGGACAGACTGGCTTCTGAATTCCATATTCATTTGTCCACTACCGGTGTTGAAGATGTCGTCACTTGCTGTGTTACCATGTCCTACCTCTAGTTCTTTCTCGGGAGCAAGCAATTCAATTAATACATTCCAAATTTATTTGGAAGCATACAGTTGGAGCATAGCCAAAACCAGGAAATGCTGACAACCTGACCTGGATATATATATATTGTTTTTATTTATTTTTTTGGGTCTCAGTATGGTAACAAAGTTCTTATTTGAGTCCTCGGATTAAACATTTTAGGAACCCCGGGTGTACATAATTGACTGCAACTGTATATAGCACAGCAGGGGTGTATCTAGGGAAAAGGGAAAATTTGACGTCAACAGTTTTTGAAGATGTAGCAGGCCAGAAATTGCAGCCGGTTCTTGTTTTTTTTTTCTACCAGAAAGTCAATCAAAAAGCTAGATTGACATCTCGGCTAAATTAAGGAACATCAGTACGGTAAAAGTAGAAACTCTCTCCTTCGAGATTAGAATCACAGGATGGTAGGATGTAAGTAAACGACAGTTGCATAACGTATGTGGTGTCGCTGTACACGCTATAGTTAAAGGAATAATTCTAGGGCCATTATTTATGGTTAAAGGATAAGTTCACCTATTGCATATTTGATGATAAAAAAAAATGCATTTCTTTAATTTTTGCATTCAAGCCTGGAAAGCATTGCCAAGGTGATCACTCGATCAGGGCTGCAGAGCTCAGACTTTTGCACATTCTCTCCCAGGCAGAGATCATACTAAGATACGGAGTTTAAGTTAGGAGAGATGGGGAAGGATAGCCTTCTGTGCTATTCTGCCCTTCCCTCTCCTTGCCATGCTGCTACCATTCTCCCCTTCCACTCTCATTCATCAGGAGGGTACATGCCTTCTGGTTCTGAAGCTCCACCCATTAACCCCTGGAGAAAATGTCTGTCAAATGGGTGTTTTCTATTCTCCATGTATTGGAGATTAAAGTAGAATTGACAACTTCTTTTTTTTTTTTTGCTAAAGGAGGGTTCTAACCTCTGTAAAACATAGATATATATATATATTCTGGGTCCCATTGGGGAGATTTCATTTCCTGTCTGATAGCCACAACAGAAAGTGAAAAGGAATCTCTCTAGAGAAGAGAGGTAAACCCCCGGGTGGTCAGCAGGGTCACCAGAACTAGTGTACCCATTGGAAGATTTCCCCTTTTTTGTTTTGTTCTGATAACTCAAAATATGGGTTTTTATTTCACTTTCAGTGTCAACGGCAGTCACCAGCACAGATAGAGGGGGTGGATCTCCCTAATGGGGACACACGCAGCAATAAAAACCTGACAGGTGTTCTAATCCCTCTTCACTTTATTCAAAACCTGAAAGAAAAAAAAAGCATGGACTTCAGTTGCACTTTAATGCGAACTGAATGCAATTTCTGACTTATAGAAACTACAATAGTTTGAAGTTTGTTTTATTTTAGATATACTCCATATATGAGCTGTTCTAGATGTGTAATGCTATTCAGCCAGTCTTGTGATTCAGGCACCCCAACAGACAGTACAGCCAGCACTGGACCTCTCTGCAGACTACACCTGCAGTTCAACTATACAATCTGGTCCAGGAGTTGACTTAGCCTGATCGGTCCGTGAAGGAACAGCAACACACTGAGAAGGTCACAGCTATGCTTTCTCCCCACTGGCAAGCATAGCACTATGCACAGCATTGGCTTAGGGTGTGCTGCCTCTTCCTCTCCCTTTTTGAGTGCTGTTGTGTGTGGAGTTACATTGGTTAATATCAATACAAATTCAGGAACTTATGCAAGTTGCATTTAAATTCATTCAATGTTTTTAATGCATAAATATTTGCATTGAGTGATGTTTTTGTGCATGTATCTGCCTAGAGTTCAGCATTCATTTACTGAAGAGACGCTGTTTGCACTGACTTATTCGAGCAAGTATTCTTCTGGGTTTTTTTGGTGTGTTTTTTGTTATTTATCATTCAAGCAAAATAATTTGCCATCTAGCACAAATACAGCTGATGTTGACAATTCCAACATAGCACTGCTGCACCTAGAAAATTGCATCGCAGACAAAACACTTTTCCAGTCGGGCAAATTTAGGGCTAAGGAGAATATGTAGTGTGTTCCTATAATCATATATTATGGTCAGTACTAATCAACACATTACGATTTTGGTTTACACCCGGCATGAGTAAGATAAATTGGCTGCTTTGCTGGAACCCACTGGCTTTAGTACTTTTGGAGTCAATGACCTGGAACAAGAGCTACAAGATTGCTACCAGGTACCCAAGTTCTCAGGAAACCGGGTGAAACAAGCCTTTGAATAGTCGAAATTCATGATGTCCCTTCGTCAAGCACCCCACCCACCACCGGGGGATGAGCTTATCACAATGAATGGAAACATGAATATGTAAATTCTGCAGGCACTGACACCCTTTAAAATGAGTCTGTAGCCATGCTATGGACATTCATTTATGTGCATATTCATCACTAACCTCTATAGCTGCAGACATTTGGTAGAGCAATTCATCCTCAATTTTTGACAGTCCTCACTGTTTGCTTATTCTGATATCTGGAACTTGGTACCCTTCCAGCCATTTAATGTAAATTAATGGCAGATGCTGTACATCAGGGGTGCCCATTAGGTCGATCGCAAAGCTTACACTGGTAGATCGCGATCTGCTCACTGACCTGTTGGCTTTCCTCCTGCGGTGCTCGAGTGGCTGATTTGTGTCAGGCGCCGCCGACGGGAAGGGGTGGGACACCTCTCCCTGTGTGCAAAGTCAGCCACACGAGCACCGCGGGAGGACAGGACGCTGGCGCACGAGAGGAGACCTGGAAAGCTGCTGCAGTGGAGGTAAGAATAGACAGGCAGGGGAGAGACCGCAGAGAAAGGGAGAGAAGAGACCGCAGAGAGAGAGAGAAGAAAGACAAAGCGAGAGAATAGAGCAGAGAAAGTGAGATAAGAGACAGCAGATAGAAACAGGGGAGAGAGAGTGAGGAGAAAGAGAAGAGACAGCCAAGAGAGAAGGCCAGTTCACACCACAAAGTCTGTGATCCAGAGTGTTCGGCCTCTAGAACGCACTGGATCGCCGGCTCCCTGCGTTCAGATGCGGGAGGGGGCACATTTTTGCTGATTGCGCTGAACCGGAATTCAGGCACTAATGTACCTACGTTCCTGGTGCGGGCAATCGCACTGCGGACGTTGGCGTGTCTGCGGTGCCATTGACTTCAATGCACCGCCACGCCCCCCTCCCGCCCCTGAATGCAGGTGTTTTTTGGTTGGTAGATCTATTGAGCTCTTCATTTGAAAAGTAGATCTCCAGACGAACAATTGTGGGCCCCCCTGCTGTAGGCTATTTAGACACTGACTTCAGGGCCTCTGTTGCAATGCTTAAGCATGAATTTCTCCACATAGCCTTCAGCTACAGAGGTTAGTAAGGACTTGTTTTAAAAGGTAAATATATTATCTATCACTAGTTTACTTTAAAGGAGAACTATGGGGTCAGTGTTTTTCCCCATAGTTTTCCTTAGGGTAACGGGAGGACACAAACTAGTGTCCTCCCGTTACCCTAAGCTCAGTATACCGCGAGCTACAGCTCGCGGTATACTGAGACGCCGGAGCGGATCCCGACTTAGATGACGGGATCCGCCCAGCTGCGTGAGTGACAGCTGGCTCTGCCTATCTAGAGGCAGAGCCAGCTGTACCCGCCCCCTCCTCCGCCAGTCAGCGCTGGCAGATCGGAGCGGGGAGAGGGGAATCCAGCCCCTCCCCCTGTCACGGCAGAGAGCCGTGACCGGATCGAGAGGCGAGCGTACCCGATATGTGTTCGCTCACCTCCCGATCTACTGAGCCGACCTGTGACAGTCTCATTGTCACAGGTCGGCTAGAACTATGAGGTGAGTGAAAAGCACTCACCTCATAGTTCTCCTTTTAATGGGAATCAGTCATAACAGATAACTTTTGTGACTATGCCCCAATGGAAGTAACCGGTTTTTGAATCGTACCAGACTAACCTGATTCGGTGCCCTAAACCCTGTTTGCACGTAAGATTTTTTGACGGTCTGCTACCACCAGAGCCCATTCACACAGATGTTTTGTACCTCGGCTAAGTTCCTTTCTTTTTTGCTATTAGGACATTTAAAAGATGCTCGTTTTGACAGAAACATGTAGACTCCTTTTTCTGACCTCCTCTTTGAAAATTTCCCTTGCTGTCATGATTTACCTCCATGCTTTAACACCCGGAACAAATATTCAGAAAAGAACCTCTGACTTTTCTGATGTGAATGCTTGTCCTAGGCCAGTGGCTATGAAGTCACAAAAGCCAGGGGGTCATTATATAGAAGCCAGGCTGCCACTTTCAGCAGATCAGCAATTGCAGAAACTTTTTGTTGTTCTTATGACACATTTACTTTAAGTGATGATTGGACAAATGTATAAGCTGTAGAAAACCGTATAATTGTTCTTCCCTCTCATTCTAGGAGGCTTCTGGAATCCTCACTGATCTCTCTGTCCCGCTATGATGGCACTGGTTCCCGAGAACACCCCATTTACCCTGACCCTGCCAGGTAAGTTATACAGGCTTTATACTTAAAATACCCGTTAGTTGCACATACTGGAGGCAGCCATCTTTGTGCATGTAAAGCCGTTTGGGATAGAGTAGGGAATAGTTAAAACCCCTTTACAGTTTTTTGTCCCTTCAGAGAGATATGCTCGCTTAGGAAGTTGGAGGAGATCTCTCCAATGTGAGGGGATATCCCCTTTAAGACATAACTGCAACAGGTTTACTAATTGGAAGAATTCCTCTTGTGTTCTGTTCCTGTGACAGCTTAAGAATTCCCATTACAAACATAGAACGAGCAAGGACACGGACAACCATACAAACAGAACAGGGGTTCTAATCCTTCTTTACTCTTTGCAGAACAAAACAGGTTTCAGCCTAAAACAAATTTAAAGTCCCAGCCATAGAGCCTGGCTACCTACAAAGGAGCAGCACTTTGAGTTTTGATCCTTTAATCCCAGCTGTATTGTAAGCGATGTCATGTGTTGCATTTTCCTTCAATGTCTCTTTCCTGACAAATTCCCGTTAAGAGGCTTACAGATCTTTAAGGATGATCTGTCAATCTGCCCATTCAGTGCAAAAATGACGAGTTCTTTGGAAAGAACATACCCTCTTCCCCACCCACTGATTCTTCTCCCTGCCGTTCTGATGGACCCCCATGTTTCTGGGTATGGACAACCACAAGATTTCCTGCCAGGATGCAGTGCTCAGGCCTGAAGGGGCCAATCGCTAGGCCTTAACACTGTCATGTGATGCAACGGAGGAAGACTTTGACCCTGTGTAAGCATTGATATAAGCTTACTCAGCATTTAGACTTTACTTTTTGACAGAGGAATGGTGCAGGGTGCAATGCACAGAATTTGAATATCATTGGGTGGGGGTAACTTTTTGAGGACCCCGTTTTTACTACTGCAGCAGTTCTTTATTCAGACCTGACTATCGGTAAACTGTTCTTAGAAATGTTCACTTTGGTTTAAACGGCTTATATACGAAATCAGTAGGTTACCTGCATTCACCGGCATAATTGTTTGTGTCCGCTGTCAATACAGAAAGTGCTGGCTTGCCTGTTCTTCTGAGTAAAAAGCCTTTTATCTGTTAAAAGGCGTAAACATATGTTATCCTTTTAGTCTTTTGATGTAACATTTTTATATTGTTAATATTGATTGATTTGTAGTAACTCATTATTGTCTTTTGCGCTCTGCAGGTTGTCTCCAGCTGCTTATTACGCACAAAGAATGATCCAGTACCTATCGCGGAGGGACAGTATCCGACAGCGCTCTATGCGCTACCAACAGAATCGCCTGAGGTCCTCTGCATCGGCCCCTTCCTCCAGCGAAGGCCAGAGCGCTGTGGAAGCTGGTGACCTGGAATTTGAGGAGTTTGAGTGAGTCATCTGTGTGTGCAGATGGATGGAAACAGACAAATATGTGCTGCAGGGGAGGGAAGGAATAAAATGAATGTGTTGCTTTGCTCTGCATGGGCAGGGCATATGTTCAGTCTAATCATTACAAATAAAAAAAATGGGGTGGGCTAATTCAGAATCAGCCTGGCCCTTGATAATCGCTCACAAAGAGGAGGAATAGGAGAGATTAAATGGCTTAATTTACCTAGTTAAGACAGATTGCGGGGAACTTATCAAAACTGGAGCAGCTTCTCTCTTCAGTTTGCTCCGTTAAGGTTTGAAAATGAAAGGTGGATGCTGATTGGTTGCCATGCACTGCTGCTCCAGTTTTTGCCTGCTCCAGTTTTGATAAATTCCCCTCAGTGTTTTAAATGTTCAGTTCTCATTTTTAAATTTTTTTTTATTTATTCCCCATTTTTCCCTAGTGGGATCTTTTTGTTGGCTTACATTTTTGTACAAGTAATCCTTACAAATGCCTATGGGAAGCTCAATGTGCAATGACTCGTGTGCCCTAAACCCCCAGTGCCAAGGAATATGCCACCTGTGCGTTCGCTGCCATTTCTTGGTGGTGTTACCATAATGAGGAAAGAGGTCTTCACTCCAATCCAGCTCAGTTATTCCCGGATTCTAAATGAATTGTAGGCTAATAGGCTAATAATTCTGTGGGGGCCATTGAAATTCTCTCTCGACAAATGAGTTCACAGGCTGTTTTTTATTTATATATTCAACCCTCAGCATGAGTCGCCTCTCGTGTAATCTGTAATCCTGATATAATAGGGACATGTGAAGTAATCAAATTCCTTTATCCTGGAGCGTTGCCTCCTATCTAGTGCCAGTCCACATTTCTATGAACGTGAAAGAAAAGCTTTTTATTTATTTTGTTTGTGCTCCAAACATGACAAAGATTTATTGCCTTTATCGCTCATTCTTGAAAGACTGGAAGAGTGTCCTTTACACAGCGCCGTTCGGTCTTTGCAGCATTCTGAAAAGCCGGGATGTTTTGTGATGAGGTATCAGTGCTGAGATGTGTGACATGGAGATTTATAGAGCAGGAAAATCCATACTTTGGTATTAATGCATATTTTTCCCATCCTGCAAACTGACATTTCATTCCCATTCTACAGTGAGTGGGGGGGGGGGGGATGGCGTCACCCAGTTAACTCTCCCATTCACTGCACACATGCCCCCTCCTCTCTCATCCTACTTCATTACTCCTCACCTCTCTCATCCTACTTCATTACTCCTCACCTCTCTCATCTTACTTCATTACTCCTCACCTCTCCCTTACCACTTCATTACTCCTCACCTCTCCCGTCCCACTTCATTACTCCTCACCTCTCCCTTACCAATTCATTACTCCTCGCCTCTCCCGTCCCACTTCATTGCTCCTCGCCTCTCCCGTTCCACTTCATTACTCCTCGCCTCTCCCGTCCCACTTCATTACTCCTCGCCTCTCCCGTCCCACTTCATTACTCCTCGCCTCTCCCGTCCCACTTCATTACTCCTCGCCTCTCCCGTCCCACTTCATTACTCCTCGCCTCTCCCAACAGTGACTGCAGCCTATCTGCTGTGTGCATGTGTGCTGTAGGAGATATTGGGGGGGAATGTGGATTAAAATTAATTTGTTTAAGGAAGTCTCCCTTTTAGCAGGTAGCTGTGTTTGATATTTTTACTGGGCTCACCAAACGTGCTCAGCCATTGCCTATTTGTTCTTGTTTATTGCATTTTGCGTCTGCCTTGTGCTCCCTATATATGCATGCAAGCGGATTTCTGCATATTGTACATTTCTCGAGCATGAATGGCGGTGAGACGCCGCCGCTGTCAGCACATCGTGGGTGAGCAATGTTAGAGATGTGCCTTTGATATGTAGGCTGCAGGGCGCTAACACAGTTTGTGAAGAGTCCTTTCTCTTTGCTCAGCAGCTCATAGTTGCTGCCTGCTCATTACAGCGTGGCGGGAAGTATCATCTTCGTGTCTCTGCACCTGCAGATTCTTTGTGAGCAGAAATATTTTTTTTCTGCAGTTTTCGCTGCGTCATTAAATACTTAGCCCCCGAAGAACTGCAACCTGCTTTCCAGGAGAGCCAAATCTCTCCAAAACTTTAGGCCCCGCTCACACCTTGGAGTTTTGTTGCACTTATTTGTCCACACTGAAATGCTCAAGACAAGAAATCCCATCTATTTCTTTAGCCCAACTGAGCGTAAGGTCGTGCATAGAAAAATGCCTATTGCTGGTGAACACTTGCCTAGGTGTGAATGAAGCCTTAAGCTGGCCACACACCTTGCAACCATTGCAAGACTTTTGTCTTGCGATGGTTAGAAGGTCATTAAAAAAACATACGATCTGCCCATCTTGGACAGGTAGATCGTACTTGCGATAATCGCAAGCAAGGCGGGCTTCCGATGACCGCAATGCTTAATGGGCAGTGTGCGCTTGCGCACACCAGCCCGTGCGGCAATTATCTTACGAGCATGCCACTAACCAGCCGAAAATCGTACGATTCTCGGCTGGTTTTCAAACATGTTCGTAAGACAAAAGTCGTGCGACCGTACGGTAAGGTGTGTGGGCACATCGTAAGGTGTGTGGACACTGGTCATTGTTTCCAGCACAGCCACAAGTCAAGACAGTTTACCTTGTCACGGTTGGGCACCATTCACACCACCACGTTGCAGTGGGAACAAGGTGGTGTGCATAAAAAAAATAAAAAATAAAAGCATGCCATACTTTTACAGCGGTATGCAACGTGGAACACTCCACTGTGCCTGTAGAACTGAATGAAAAGTCACTCATCACATTTATATAAAGTTCTGAAGAAAAAAAAAGTATAGTGCGATGTGCCAGGATTGGCACTGTGTTGGGCACTGCACACCAGCCACTTAGTTTTGCGGCTGGTGTGTATGGACCCTGAAGGTCAGGTTTACCTTTCTGACCAGGTTTCATTTTATACCCATACTTCGGGTGCAAAAATTAAACATGGTCAGATCGCAGTCGTCCCCCACACCCCATTCCACCATTTACCTGAATCGTGCGGTTCTTCTCCCCACGGGCTCCTTTACAAATTTAAATTTGGCTCGTCTCTGCCCACACAACTGGGTCATTAGTTCACAGATCCGTTGACAGGATCTGTGAATGGAGAAACTACAAGTCGGTCACTGTGGAGAGTCACCGCACTTGTAGTCTGTTGCACTCTGTCCTTACCTCGGTGCAGGCATGGACCGGTGAAAGAGTCTGCAGGAGGCAGAGCATTGCACCTGCATCTACTGATCACGGTTGCAATGCGCTTTACTGGCTCTATGCACATTTTTTTAATCTTTAATGAAGAAGTGTGCATTCATTGTTTGTTTTTTTTGCAAAAGCTGGAATTTCCCTTTTTACATTTTTAGTTAAAAACAAACATCTGTCCGCCCTCCGTAACAGTTTGCCTATGGATGCATAGATTGGCTAAGTCTAGATGTAATCATTGCTTTCTAAGATGTAGGCATCACTCTGCTAAGGAAGCTGTAGATGGTCTATTGGCAGGTCTGGCATATGTGTGACAATTCCTAAGGGCCATGTCACATTAACGATTTAGACTGGTGACAGTCGCTGAGACTTTCCTTTTTCTTATGGTGGTGTTCAATCTCTGCCTGAAACAGCAAAGTGCCTATCTATCGCTCCCAGTTATTGAGACTTTGCAAGGCTTTGGCCGGGAAAGGAACAACATCCATTAAAGCAGGGTTGGACAAGTCCCAGAAGCCAGGTAGCCAATGCTCCTTAAAAGTTACATCGGGTACCTAACTTTTGAGGATTTCTTTAGTTGCTGTTAATGGAGCGGGCTCCTAAATAAAAAAATAAAAAAAAAACCAAAAAACAAATCCTGCTGGATCCTGCATTGGACAGGCTGGCTCCTGAATACCATATTAATTTGTCCCACCCCTGCATTAAAGTAGATGTAAATCTAGGAACTACACAGTGTAGCGTTGATGGAGGAATCTGTTGCACTTTTCCCATCTGACCATAGAAAACCTGCAGATAATCTATAGGTGTATGACCAGCTTTAGAATGGAATCAGGGAAGTGGGCAGCAAGGATTATGTCTGATTTGTAAACACCTGATAAACATTTGGTTCGGGTGTCCCTATTTTTCTTCTTACTTGTCATTGGTGTAGAGATTATTATTATTATTATTATATAGGATTTATATAGGGCCAACAGTTTGCGCAGCGCTTCACAATGTAAGGAAGACATTACAATTACAATACAAGACAAGATTGTAAGGAGGGCCCTGCCCCTGAGGGCTTACAATCTAATAGGGAGGGAGAAGTGATACGTGAGGAGGTAGCTGTGTGGGGATGAATTGTTTGAGAACATTATTGGATGGTAAGTTTTTTTAAAGTGCAGCCAAATTGGGATAACGCCTACATTACATTTGTTACTGGTTCCCATTTCACTTAGCATAATAAAAACAAATTGCTGCTTACCTTTTTCATGCTGTTTACTTGCTGAAAAATCTTATTTAGTATTCCCTGTGTGTCCCAACAGAGGGGTAAAGATCTCAAGATTTGGGTAGTACATTGTATGTTAATGTACATTAAAAAAACATCCTCACTTTATCCTTTATGTATAAACCCACTTCAAAGAAACAACTAGAAAGGGAAGAGCAGATAGGCAGAGCCCGCTGTTACTCACGCAGGTGGGTGCATCACGACAGTATTGTCGGGATCCGTCCCGGCTGCGGCACTCTCAGTATATCGTGGGCAATAGCTCGCTATATACTGAGCTTTGGGGTCACGGGAGGAGGTTAGTATATGTCCTCCCATGACCCTAAAGAGAACTATGGGGAAAAACACTTACCCCATAGTTCTCTTTTAAGGGATACAGTGGTGTCACCCCCAGTCTGCTGATAGAACAGTAAGGGAGCAGCGATACTGATAAGTCATCAACTTTTTTCTCCTCCTGTCATTGTGCAGCTTACCAGTCCTTGTGGCTGCATTGATTTTTTTTATTTCACACTTTTTTTTTTTTTCCCCCTGTGAGTTGGTTTGGTGATCCTGCCAGTAACACACTTCTTCTTTACAGTAACTACTGTACTGTATGTATGGAGGAGCAGCGTTGTCACCCTAGACATGAAAATGTATTAAGATTACAGCCTCCCCCTCTCCTTATCTCCATAATCAAGGGCAAAGTGTTCTGTAGTTCACAGAGGTGACCTGGACAAGGCTGATAACAATGCTTGAGATAACACGGCAGAGTGCACAGGACAGCTTTGACGTTTTGGCAGGATCATCAGGCATTTCTTTCCCGTTTATCGAATCGGTATGGCAATGCACATTCAATGGTAGAACAGACCAAAAGGGAGCAAGAAAGAGAAGTTCATTGTCTTTCTGCCACATCCTTAAAAGGTAAGGTGGCCATTGCAGCAGCTTTGTATTAGAAGCGATTAATTTGGGAGGATAAGACTTCTGAAAAATCCTTTCCTGCAATACTTTCCTCCAGTTTGGAGCTGTCTCCCACCCCAGTACTCCACTAGATGTTCTCAATCTTCAGCAAGCATGATTCCACCCACTTTCTTTGAACCCAGGCTGTATGGACCTGTCTCCGAGCCTGGGACTGGACAGTATAAAGGAGAAGTACAATGTTTTTCTTCTCCCATCAGCATGCTCCTTATCAGCACATGAACTGTCTGGCTTCTTGTAGTGCTTCTCCATTTCCCACCCCGAGTTCTGTCTTACAGGGACTGCAAGAGGCTGATACCTGGTTACATTCAGATGCTTACACTGCTTGCATTGATAAGAAATAAATAATTTAATGAATAGAAAACTGAATTAATTTGTGTCTTTTATATCAGCTTTAGCATCATGAATAGTAGTGGAGTTTTCCCTCCAGTCTATTGGCAAACGCACAGAAATAATTATTCTTTCCCTTTCAGGGATAATGGGGACCGATCCCGGCACAGGACCCCTCGGAACGCCCGCATGTCTGCTCCATCACTGGGCCGCTTTGTTCCCAGGTGAAACAATCATTCGCCTCCTAACGCATCTGTCAGAGCTTTTCATTTTTGGCTCATTCCGTGAGATTCTGCCTCCATGTTCCACCTGTCTTCATCAAACTTCTCAGATCTGTCGTCCTGTCACTTCTCTACGCTGTGCTTTGTCTGTGATCACCACCAGCACTTTCTCACTCTGCCAATGTTTTGTTCTCTCTTATTTTAATGGCTTGCACTGTATTCATCATCCTCTTTCATTGCAGGAGATTTCTACTGCCTGAATACCTTCCATATGCTGGAATTTTCCACGAGCGAGGTCAGCCGGGACTTGCCACGCACTCCTCTGTGAACAGAGTCCTGGCGGGTAAGGGCAACCTTATGCTATGGTACAACTGTAGAAATGTGTTTTAAAGGTATATTAACCAGTTAAAGACCAGGGTGTTAAACCCCCTAGTACAAGCGATCAGGGTGTCTCTACAGATAACCAAGTGGATAGGGTGAAGGTTTTAGTGCAGAATAACGCTATTGGTAGTTAAATGGAACCGTTTCATAGATATCTGTACATCAGACCAAAAAGAGGGGCAACTGAGGAGAAATGATGGACAGAGGGATTTGGTTCCAAATGAGGGACAGTTAGGTATATCAAGCCCCACATGGCCGTTTGTAACATTGGGCATTGTGAACATTCCCTTTGTATGCTATCCATAAAACCAAGTGACCAGAATAATCATGTTTATTGGCCCCCCCGGTCATAAGATGGCCAATTACAGCTCTGGGATTTGAAGGGGACTGGAGACTAGCTCTGGGATTTGAAGGAGACTAGAGGCAAGCTCTGGGATTTAAAGGAGACGAGTTCTGGGATTTGAAGTGGACTGGAGACGAGTTCTGGGATTTGAAGTGGACTGGAAACGAGCTCTGGGATTTGAAGGAGACTAGAGACGAGCTCTGGGATTTGAAGGGGACTGGAGACGAGCTCTGGGATTTGAAGGAGCCTGGAGACGAGATAATGGATTTGAAGGAGCCTGGAGAAATAGAGAAAAGGGATGAACAGCATGGGAAAATTAAGACCGCGTGAAAATCATGAAGCAAACCATTTATGTGCTTAGAACCCAATAGGTAGAATATTTTTCTTCACTGACTGTTGTGAGCCAAAACATTGAATAATTTATGCAGGGGCCCCGAGGGCTGCACAGAAAGTGCCAGAGGGCCGCTGTTTGGGCACCAGGGGCCTACGTGAAGTTATAGGATTGTTGTATCCTGCGATTACCTTTATCAATATTTAACAGTCTCTCGAGGTCCTGCATCTCGGTGGGTTTTATTTTTCAGTTTCTTGCGAATTCCTGCATACTGCCCATTCGTCCAAATCCCTTCGACTTCCCGTTATCTGGGGAATCCGCAAGGCATTTTTTCTGAGGGGATTTAAAACTGCAGCTGCTGCCGCCTCACTTATTCCAGTGAGCCCCCCCTTGAGTAGGTGCATCAGGAAACCTTTCCGTGAGGGGATAATTAACCCAATTACCTCTCTCTCTAACGAGGGAGAGCCAGCCACTGATTTGGTTTCTATGACAACATAAGGAGCCCCAGACAGCTGTATGCTGGCCGCTAAAGCTCAATGCGATCAAGACTTTGCCGTTA